TAGAAATTATACTCTGAAAGCAGCTCTGCTCACCTGACTTAACATTCTATCAAGCTCTTTATTATTAAGAAGTAACACAGATTTGTATAATCAGTGTGAACTTACACTGAGTACTTACTACTCTGAAGATAATATTATCAAATCTTAAAGAATTTAATAATTACTAACATCTTCTGATTATGAGTATCATATCTTCTCTATATAAGTGATAATTTCTTAAAGAAGAAGATCACTGATCTTTATTCACAGCATCTTATAGACTCTATGAAAAAGTCTTCTCTTACAGATAATTTATTATCTGTTTTTTCAGAAGTGATTATTCTCTGATTTTTTCAATATTGAAAGATCTTCAGTGTTAACTGTGAAAAGATTTCACAGACTTCATTTCTGAATATATCAGTCTCACACTGACTGAGTAAGTTGAGGTTAAAGTGATTCAGTATTATAATATCTATGAAAGCTTGTTTCAATTCTGCAAATGCCTGCACAGTGTCTTGAGTGAGAATAAACAGTCTTATTTTTCTATCTTTCACACTTTTCTTTAACAGATCTGTAAGAAGAACAGTACTCTGTGAATATGTATAAATGAATTGTCTGTAGAAATTCATAAATTCTAGAAATATCTGTATCTTGTGATACATTCACAGCACTGATCAGTTCTTAATAATGAAGACCTGACTTCTATTCATTGAAATACTGTTCACTTCAACAATATAATCTAAGAAATCAATCTTCTGTATGTAGAATAAGCATTTTTCAGTGTTTGTATAGAGTTAATACTGTCTCAAGTGACTTAACACTTCTTAAACATGAGTATCATGTTCTTTCTCTGATTTTGAGAAGATTAGAATGTTGTTCAGATATACTATACAGAAGATGTTAACAAGGCTCTGCAGTATCTCATTTGTATAGATCTGAAAGATGACTGAAGCATTACAAAGATCAAAAGATAAAACAAGATATTTAAAATTATTATACTTGATATGAAAAGCTGTTTTTCAAACATTATCTTCATTAACTCTGATTCTATGATAGATATTCTGTATATCAATCTTTAAGAACATCTTTACTTCAGATAATTAATCAATCATCTTATTAATTAATGATAATAAATAGTAATTCTTAATCATCATCTTATTGAGACCTCTATAGTCTACACATAAGTATAGTCTATTATTCTTCTTGAATACAAAGAGTATAGATGTCTCTGTCAGACTCTTTGATAAGTGTATTCAGTTCTTTGATTACACTTCTTCAAGATATTTACACAGAACATTCAATTTCTTTACAGATAAGTTATAAAGAGTTCTGTACAGTATTATTACACTGTCTTCAAGATAAATCTTATGTTATATCTTGATATCAGAAAACTTTGCTGCTTTTCTTTTCAAAAAGACATTCTTATAATCTGTAAACAGATGTTATATATATCTGTCTTCAATGATGAATACAGCTGCTAATCTTATAGCAAGAGTGATAACTTCTTTATCTATTCTCAAGTCTTAATCATCTACTATATAGTATATCAACTCTATCTTTTTCTCAAGATTCTTTCAATGAAACTCTTCAGATTTCTTTATCACTATCTCTTTATCAGTGAGACAGTATCATTATATCTGAGTAACTCAGTCAATGAGAGAATTGTTTTCTCTTAATTATAGAAGATCTAGAATGATATTCTCATTCATGATATTAACTATATGAAGAAGCAGACTGCTCTTCTTAAAGATTTCTTCTAAGTCTGTGATTACATATATTACTTGAATTATGTTAAAATAGTGATATTTCATTTCATTAGTAAATTTTATATAATCTGATAAATCTATCTTCTTTCAACTCTTCATCAAAGAAAAGAAATAGAATATGAAGTTAATATTCACTCTGAAGTTGAGTAGATATCTCACTAGTATCTTCTTATTCAGAGTATGTATTGTGATTGTAATATAAACTCAGAGATATAAGAATTATTAATTCTTCATTTCTTTCTCCTCTTTATCTTTTATAAATACATTTATTAGAAGAGAAGTTAACTTTGAGAAGATATCTTCTCAGTTTCTTCTCTTCTTCAGCTTCTTATAATCACTGATATAGTAATTATCAGCTCTGTAGTTAAAATAGAGATTTTTATCAAATCTTTTTTAATATTTCTTTACAGTGAGTGAAGAATTAAAATACTTGAAATTCTTCTTTACTTTCTCTACACTGAAGCTGTCACAGTGCTGTTTAGATCTTATTATTAATTACTTAGAAGAGATCTTATTAGTCTTTTTCTTAAAGAATTAATTATTTAAATAGATTTGAGAAGTTAGATTGACAAGCTCAGTATAATTAATTAATAAACTCTAATATTATAATATTATTATCTGCATCTTATAAGTCAGCTTTATAAGATAAAGCTGTGTTTTTAATTAATTCAAATTATCAGTTAATTTCTCTCAATATTCTTTAAATCTTAAATTGAAATCAGAAGAATTCTTATCATCTTATTAATATAATAAGTTAAACTGCTGTGCTACTGTAAAGCTGTGATTACAGTGATCTTCAATTTAATTCAGTAGAAAGTTCTTGAATTCTTCTTAAGTTATAACAGTATTAATACACTTAAGCTCTCTCTTCTTAATAACTCAAGTAGTTACAGAGATATTTTCAAGAAGATTGACAGTGTATATTACTTATATCTTATAAGTATTATACTGACTCAGATTAAGATGAAATTTCTGTTCAAGAGTACAGATAAAGCTGTGAAATTTAGATAATATATTTCTCTTATATCTCAGAGAATCTCTAATCTTAATCTCTCTATCTCTATAATAGATGTAGATGTGTAGAGACTGTGATGATAGTAGAGTAGTTAAAGAGCTCATGTTAAAATATACAGTGAGTTCAGAAATCTCAGATTTCTGTCAGAGTAGAGATATACACACTTTAGAGAATGATATAGTGTTTCTCTCAGAGAGTGAGATCAGATTAGTCTCAGTATAGATGTATAAGATTATATCAGTCTATTAGAGCTCAACTGATTCAAATGTATAATCAGATTAAGTAATTTAAATTGTAATATAATAGAACTGAAGCAGTGACTAGTCAGTAGTATTATATAGAGATAGTTATTTAAGAAGCTGTATAAGTGAGCTTGACTATCTTGTTTAAATAGTGAGCTTATAGACTACAGAGTTATTATAAGAATATCACAGATATAGTACTTAGTATACTAAGAAGATTGTATAAGATATATAGTAACTCTTATATATATTTTAGTAGAAGAAAAATAAATCACTGACTTCTTTGATGAGAAGTCAGCATCTAGCTATTCTATATAGATAATAAGTGAATACTCTTCTCTCATTTCATAAGTGAGAATAGTCAGACTGATACCTCAGCAGCATCTTACTATTAAGAAAGAGTAATCTGCTGACCTTATATAGAAGCAGAGTTCTCATATTCATCAATCAGATCTTTCTATAATATATTCAAATAATATTATAGAGTGATTGAAAACCGGTTTGAATGATCTGTGAGATGAATAAAATCATTCACATGAAAGTGATGAGCCGTGTGAAACCGTAGCAGAGTCTTGACACGGTCAGAGACGTGACAGCTTTATTATTAACTGATTTAATTAATATAAAGCTATCTTTAATTAATATTAATTTTTTCACTATAATATCTACAACTTTAATAAGATTGAATTTCAAGAAGAAGAAGAATACAGATAGTGAGTTATAACTGTCTTTAAAGATATAAATTCTGTTATACAGTTATTATACTTCTGCAGATTAATAACAGTGATAAAGTATATTAGTGAAGATAATACAGTATTAAATTCATTAATTATAATAAAATTAAAGATTTATTTAAAGAATTAATATATATACTTTAACTTATCTGATAACTATATTATCACTGTATCTGAGTCTGACTTTATAAATGATGAGATTGAATTTGAATGAATTAAGTGATTTAATAAGATGATAAAAAAGTGTTAAATAAGTAGTTATTAACTATTATTAATAAATAATCATAGTTTTTATCTTATAGAAGAATTTATTTAATACTATAATCTTTATAAGATTATTCTGTTCAGATTCTTATCTTATATAAGTTATATTCTATAATCTCTTAATAATATATCTTTTCAGCAGTATAAATATTATTATATAAAGATAGTTAATAAGACTATCTACTACAGATATAAGCAGTATAATAATAGATAATTTCTTACTAATCTGAAGAGTATTTAACTGTAAGTATTTAAATATAATACTGTAAGAGCTGACTTTATTAACTGTGAAATGTATTCAGTTAATTATAATATAATTTTCAATTAATTGAGACCTCTTATTATTAATGATGTCTCAGATCTCAACATATGTAATAATAATAATAATATATGTAATCACTTTATTTTATCATCTGCAGATTAACTGTTAACTATCTTCTTATAATTAATCTTCTCAGAGATAGTTATAAAACTATGTCATTAAATTAATACAGCAGTCAAGATCTTAGAAGATGTGAAGAATACTCTTATACCTGATTTGACAAGATAATTGAACAAGATCTTCAAGAGTAGCTTGATTCAGGTGAAATTAAATATACACTGTGAGAGTGAACTTGCAGATTATTATTAAATAAATAGATATCAGATTGTCAAATCCTCTCACAGACAGATATAAGTAGATGAAGTTCTCTCTATTAAGAATGTCAATCACAAGATTCTGATCTGTAGAGCAGATGAGATGAAAAAGACATTTAATAAGACTCTTCAATTGATTGAAATCAAATCTACAAAATCTATAGACACTTAACCACAATAAGATAATTCTATAGAATCTCAACTTACAGTGAATTCTACATCTTCTAATGAGTATATAGATAATCTTTATATTATAGATAGATATGGTGATGATTATTAATTAATTTTTGAAGATTACTATATTCAAAATATTTTCTTTACAGTGTGGTTTTCCGTACACTGTGGTGCACTCACTACAGAGAGTGAGTAAGCATGGCACGGTTACCAGATTATACTTCGCTACTGGAAAAGAAGGATCCTAGGGCAGTTCTCATCTTGGGCTACTGGCTGGCAAAGAAATGTCAAGAAAACCACTGGTGGATGCATCCAAGAGTTCACGCCGAATGCACGGCTGTATGCATGTTCTTAGAAAACTGTCCGGACCCTCGAATTCTCAAGCTGCTAGAATACCCAGCTGAACACTGTGGATACCTTCTGAAGCATGTCCGAGAACAGGCGATTTTTGAAGCCAACATCGACTTTCTCTGCCTCTTCTGAGAGAGTCCACATGTAAATGTCGTCCTTCCTCCCATATCCTCGGAAAAATACCCGTTTACGTTCCTTTCAGCCCTCTGATGCATATAATATAGTACCGTTGCGCTCATCGCAGACGATGTTACGAACTAGCATTTCCTGGGTTTCCTAACGCCGCCTCTTGTGCTCAGCAATCAGTCCGGCTATGAAACCCCTAGGAACCATTGTCAGCCAGCTTTCGGATCAACATTTCTACACACCCTGACAACTCCTGATGATACATAATTCCTTTTAGTACAGCTATTTATAGAAATTTTATTGGAGGAAATTCCTGTTTTATTCTCTCTCTTCTTAATTCTTGAGTATGGCTGCTTATTCTCGACTGCTTAATTTATTTATACCCTGCAATACCTGCTCAATGATTCATGCAACGAGGATTTTTCGGCGATAAAGCATGATATCTTGGACTCAGGAAATCCTAGGACCTAGTTATTCTCTTACATACAATTCATTTTAGGGTATATATCTTTTTAACGTTGATTGGATATTTTTTTGGAACACCTATGAGAGCAACTTTTATTTATTTTATGAATATATAAAACATCCATCAAACTCCGTGCCTCCCGAAAGATCGATATGAAAGAGAGCAAGTACGGCGAACAAGCAAGCAAGATCGCGCACACACTATGGTTCAATGAATGCACGGCGCGAGGCACTTCATCAGGCATAAGTGAGGATAACCTCAAGAAGACCCTTCAGATTTTTCCTGCTCGCACGCTAACGCATGTAAAATCAGTGCATAACATTTTGAAAAAACATAATGGACGGTGTTTAACTGGCTGAGGTTTGTGGAATGCGGATGTGATTGAATGAATGAAGAGGACGGGGAAGTAAAACAAATGCCAACAAAAAGCGGCAACAGAGCAAGGCAAAAAAATATTGGTGCAAGAGAGGCTTTTAGTGAAGATTTAAGACACCTTATTTTGGTTATCTTTCTGTATTTCCTTCCTTTTTTTCCCTTTCGTGATGTTTGGGGATGAAACAACAAACACGAAAAAACAGGGCCAAGAAAAGTCGTCAACACGAAACATAACTTGTCAAAATAAGCAAAACTTGCAACGTAAAAACCATGGAAAGGAGGGCAAAACATTCCAACCGTCGTCAAGAGAAATCAAGGAAATTCATCAGCACACCAAAAACAGGAAATAAAAAAACTGAAGATATCCTTATATAGTAGAATGTCTCGGCTTTGAAATCACCCATTCCTCCCAGAGCTTCCTCTGCCGGTACTCCACATTGATTCCATTATCTTCAAGGTCATCGGCAGATATCAACGTCAGCGGCGTTGTCCAGTGTGAACAGGGTGATATCAAAGAGAAAGCCGTATCAGGCGAAAGTTCAATTTGATTTGCTCTGGGTCCATTGTCACCATTATGCGAGCTCAATCCGTCCGATTCATCACCGATGCTTTCATAGTCGTCGTTGTCACCGTTGGTGTCAGGATCATACCTGTCAAAAAAGTCGTCATCCTCGCTGTCAGAATTAGGGAATGACTGGATATCTGATATATCGGCGCTGGTAGCCCACTTCTCGTCGAAAGCATTCGAATAATCGATCCGTCGCAGGCTGACCCACTCCAAATTATCCATCTCCTCACGCAACATGGAAAGGACATCTTTCCACAGGCTTCCTTCTTTGAGGAGGACGTCTCGTAAACGAAGACCGCGGAGCGTTCGGCGGTGGCGGCGTGCGAAGTCGATAATTTCTTCCGCATCCAGGCGCCAGGCTTGGATGCCGAATGCGCGCAGCCTCTCCCAGTATACGTTATGGAATATATCTTCGAGCTGGAGATCTAGTGGTATCCGCGATGGAAAACCTAAATGCACAGCTTCCATATTTTTGGCTGCCATGAATAAAGTATGAAATACTTCTGATAATTCTCGCATCTCTGCATTAACGTATCTTATCGCATCGAAGTGGATTTCCAAACAAGTCAGCTTGACAGCAAGCGCGGAAACCATATCGATTGGGGCTCGTTTTAACGTGAGAGCTGCTTGAGGATTTATCTGGGGGCCGGAGAATCGGTTGACAGGGGGCTGAGATTCGAGAAGAGCTATTGCGAGAGTCTGCACTGCATGGGAGCATGCCGGTTTCCAATCCAATGATACTAATGGATCAAGCGGATTATCGTGTCGCTCGATGAATTGTAAAAGCTCCCGCTCCATGTCATCCTGCACCTTCAAAATCTTTATATGTTGAAGCGATTTGAATGCCCGCATGGCCCGTTTCAGGGAAGCGAAATCTTCACCCGAGCTGACTAAACGTTTCTGCTCTTCTAGTCGACGATGATGTTCGGAAATCTTTAATTTACTGGAATCCGCCGTTAAGAAAAGTTCACTGAGCTTGTCTCGATCTAAAAATAAAACCGAAGGGCAGAAAAGGAGATAGAGCGTTAGACACACCATGTCTGAAGAAGAAATTGGAAAGAAAATGAGGGAGCAAGGAAGCAGCACGGGGAGATTAGGAATTATGAACAACCTTCAACGTAAAACGACCGAATAATATACGTGAAATTTCTCGAATGCCTTGCCAAATGTGGGGAGCTTGACAACATATCCAACTTCCGAAATGCGCTTTCAGAAAACCGCACCACGACCCGGCTAAATTTATAGGAGGCGCCTAGGTCTGCAAACCGTTTGCACACCTCTCTGAAGCGGTCGATGTCCGTCCTATAGTCTTCCTGGAAGCCATTCTTAGGATCATAAATGAGAGGTGTTGGCTCTGGTGGGCTGGGGCGCTTGAAACTCTCAATCGAGAGGTACGCACGACGGTCGACGCTGACGCATTTCTCAGGGTCCCGGGCCAAATGGTCCAATATTTCTCTTAACAGCTCATTTGAAAGGCCCAAAATACCGCGTGGTTCGTCCATCGCTTGGCTTTGAGAAGCCGATGACGGCTTTTTTGCCGCTTCAAATTCTTGGTCGACAGATTCCTCATGGAATAGCCGCAATCGCGGGGAAAGAAACGAGAAAAAGGAAAAGAACCAACTGAGGATGAGAGTAGCCAGGTTGGCGAATTGTTCCGGCGAAAGCTGGTAACGGAGGGGTAATTGAGGGGCTAGCGGGTGGGCAGTATCTTTGAGATCAATATCATAAGATATATATATGTATATATATATATATATATATATGTATATAGAAACTATATTTGGGATCCTTTTTGAAACCTAATAATAACTTATTCGCTCAAATAAAGTCCGAGTGGATCAGTTCAGTGTGGGGATAATACGGCAATAAGATCGTCGTCCAGCACAAAAGCGGAAAGGGAAAGTCAAAAAAACATGGGAGGGCTCAGGATAGGCATATAAAGAGGGCTTAAGCAGCCGTCAAAGCGAGAACCAGAACCGCTTTGGAAACAGCACTGCTGATCTGAATGTGGGGAGAGAAGGGCCAAATGGCGGGCCCTGAAATGAAGCACCACACCGCCAGCAACTGGGGGACTTCAGACGATAGCAACGACAAATAAGCATGCCGCAGCTGATTAGAGCATGTCCTTCACCTGCCCATAGGCAACTCGGTATACGCCAATATAGTGTCCGGGCGCTTCCATCCCCGTCGTCATCGTCGAGTAGAAGAGAAAAACGTGTGTGCTGCTAGCAGGGCTTCCTGCCATTGCCCACGCGAATGAGCAGCGCGGCCACTACACCATGCGGTCACATGATCGAAAATACACCAGCAGATCCTCCGCCAGCAGCGGCAGCATGCGGGCCGCGGTGAATCTAGAGAGACGAACCTTGGGCCCCTGGAGATAGGAGGACGCCAGAGTCTGTGGCGCGGGTGTGGCAGGCGAATTGTTGGGCAGAGCGGCGGCGTGCTGGCCTTGATATGCTGCACTCTGCAGAGCTAGGTTCTCCTAGTCGACCCAGTAAAACCCCCCTTAACTGCTCTCCCTCTGTCCAGAGGCGGATGCACGACCCAATGCTGCAGAGTCCCTGCAACCCACAGAGCAACCCCGCTGGTACATTGGCCGCTGGCCCCAGGCGGCGAATCACCATGACAGATCAGCCGACGACGTAGGTGGGCATGATGCTCGAAAGGGGTCGAGAACCACCGACGTGTTCTCGGTTGTGACATCGAGCAGTGTTGGGATGGGGAAGTGGGATTCCACCCTTTTGGGCTGCGGCATCTGAGATATATACCCAACTTTGCCCTAACAGCCTTCCTCTCGCCTGAAGGATGAAGGTAGGACTGGGCAACGATCACAGCCTGAGTTTCATGGTCATTGTCCTAGACCACACTGCCTGCCGTGTCGTCAATCGTCAGCTCCAGGTTTTCATTTTACATCGCCTGGTTTACATACTATTATTGTACCATATCTCTATAACTAGCTTGAGCAACCTATGAAAGAGTGGGTAAATGCATATTGTGCTGTACAACTCTACCTCAGGCCCCGATTGACTGATACTCTGCTTTACTAATTTAGTGCTTTCTGAATAGTTATCCCATTTGCGTTTCCTACCACTCCACGACGGTTCAATCAGGCACGGGTGGTATGGACTGGTCATATTCCCGTCGCAACTAGGACGGGAATAGTGCATTTATCTTGCAAGGTACGGGACTGTACCGTTTTAGCAAACATCCCAGGACTATCCGCCCCTACAGACAGGCATCCATATGTAGGTACAGGACATGCATCAGGGCCAAGGGTTTTGTTTCCTGAATTATCATCAGTTATGCAAACGGACAGACCAGATGGGCAACAAACAAGGAACCCGAAGAACTCTTAGTTTTTCGTATGTCCTGGGCGTGTCCAACTTCGGCCCTTTACTCTCACTCCTGTCCATGTACAGTACATGTACATGTACATGTACTTTGTACCTGTGAAATCAGAGAGTTAGCCTGTATCATCCGCTCCCGTGGCAGATTGTAAATCGGACCAACTCGCCCCGTTTTCATTCTAGGAATCTCACATCCTAGCCGTCCCCCTATGCTCTACAGAGTAATTATGAGCCTAATCAGCGGGGGGAAAAGAATGGAAGAAGGAAAATTTTCATGTAAGTCCCGCTCTCTCTCCTTAGTGGAGCTGGCAACCTGCTTGTTGGCCCAGTCGTGCCCTTCTTTTAGCGCCCGGATGCCGCATCCTTGCTCGAATGCTGCATACAACTAACTCCATCTACTCACATAATTCCCCTGCGAATGATGAATTCTTCAAAAGGAAACATTTGTTCCGTTTTGCTTTCTTTTTCCATTTCGTTATTTTACTACGGAGTACTCCGTACTCTGCTCTCTAATTGTTCCTGCACCCTCTCCCTGCTGTGTTCAGCCCTCGATGGAAGAAGCGGCCACGATGCCCCAGTAGCATGCTGTTCTTTTATTTGCTTTTTCTTCAGCCCCTCGTTACGACGCCACACGACGTCGTGGTTTGAGTTAGGGGTTTATTTTTACTGCACATTTTCACTTTCCACCGTGATGAACGATGGCATTTGCTGGCAGTTGTCCAGGGCATGCTTTAACAAATACGGGGTAGTAATGCCAACAAAAAAACTGCGCAGCGCTAGTCGGGTATCTACACAATATGGAGTTGTGGAAACTGTATACACAAAAAAAGGAATTTGTGGTGTTCCATGCAGATGTGAAGGCCATTGAATGCCTTGGAGCACCAACGCCGACCCTTGCGTGTTTTGTTTCAATTAGGCCCAAATCCCGGTCAAACACTGAGCCCCCATTTTACAAGAATAAAATTCGGGTTTCCTAGTCTTCCGATTCCGTGGCCATGGTTAAGACAGAGCTAGGGCATTATCTAAACGGGACAAAAGATGACCATTTTGCCTGAGAAAGGTGTGTCGGCTCACGGTGCAGGGTAAAGATAAGGGAAGAACTTCGGTTTATTGGATTTATCTATTCCCCCGTACACATTCTTAAAAGAAGGGAAACAAAGGGAGAATCAACAATCAGTCGCTGTTAAAAGACAAATGGAGATGACAGACTCTATATCCTCATAGATTTCCCTTAGCCAAGTTCATCTGACGTCGGCGAATTTGTGTACTGCTGATCTTGGTCTCAAAATTCTCCACATTCTCTCCTTGGCTTTCACCTTCACTGGCGTCCAAGACATCAACTTCAAAAACCTCGAGCATCGACCACCCTTTCTTCTCACGCTCGTCATTCACGGCTTGCCCGCCCAATCGAGTCTCCTTGGATACGACCAAAGCGCTTATGGCTTCGTCCGTGATAGTGGGGCCGAATGGGTCAGAAATCTGAACGAATTTGATATCCAGGTCCGATGACACCCGCACGCGGACATACTTGCCATTTGGAGCGGGATGGTGAACATATTCAATTTTGGCGGTCGCGGCCGGGGTGGCATACTGCTTCGCAAGTGGTGGGGAGAAATGTATCACTGATTCCATAAATCCCCAAACTCCCTGCCATCGCTCATCCCAACTTTCTAGGTACTCTGCATATTGTTTATTCACCAGCAGCTCATCCCCAGTGATGCCAATGGTGATGGTCCTTTGAACCGGCTTAGATCCTGGCGGCACTTCATCAATAGCAAGGGCAGTCGCTGTGAGCAGGAGTTTGTGCCCTGCATGCAGATGGTCAAAAGTACCGCCAACTGCAACGGAATAATGGCGTCGCGGATGCAGTGCGAGTGGCTCAAGAACCGTTGGCTGCGGCTGTAACGCTGACACGCCTGGAAGCCTTCGAATGGTGGGGGCCAGATTTGACAGCCCTCGTTTCTTTGCTGTCGTGGTAAGCGCATTCAGGAGCATATCCCCTTCTCTTGTCCCGAGAAAAAAAATGCTTTCCCAGGAACGACCTGAAGCTGCGAAATCGGTCAGATGGATAATTGGGCCCAGATTAGCACGCGAGACCTGGGAGCGATTTGTATCACCACCATCGTTATTGTCGCTGCCATTCTCGCTATCGTCAAGGAAAAACACTCTTGCATCCACCCCCCCGGGCCCGTCCAATTCAACCGCTTGTGCAACACTCGTCACGCCGAGGAGCCTATAGAAAGAAGCCAGCAGCTGTTGTAAATGCACGAACGACCTGCCTCGCGGTGCAGAATCCGGTGCAGCTAAACCACGTGCGGTAATTGCGATATCTAATACCGCTTTACTACTAGTTCCTTTGATAGGACTGGAAAGTTCGGCAAGGATGATTGACAACGCGGGGTTGTATGCAGCTTTCAAAGAAGAATATGAGGTTGAGGACGTGCTAGGGAGTAAGAGCAATGCTTCATGGCGAAGATCTCCGCCAGACGCCATATCGTCCAGCATTCAGAACCCTACAATATAAGTTGATATAAAGTTGCCTCGATAAGATCGGGTAATATTAGAGCTGAACCGAGCCGAATAGAATGTGCCTTGGGAGACGCGAACGCCAGATATTGTATTAGTGAAGGACGAGAAACATGCAAAGATACTGTATAATCGTCACGGGCTGGCTGATTCACTGGTATATGCTTCGAATAGACACGTTTTCCTTTTGATATTGCTTTAATTTCTATAGTTATTTATATTTCGTCGGCGGGGTGTCTCTCTTCCCATAAAATGAGCCGAGGGAGAGGGAAGCTGAGTCACGTGTATACCTCTGCTGAGTCATGCGCTCGCCAAGGCAATGCGGCTCGTTGTTGACGTCGAGCTCGCGATATCAAATCGCCGTCGACACTCTCTGCAGTTGGTGAATATGCCTCTACATGGGCAACATCACGTCCATTATCCTACAGGTAGTGCACAGGATGCACCCCCAACTAACCCTAGTGCAACTGGTGGAGTGTTTCAGACTACACAAGTTCTAGGCTCTGTTGGCGCTCCCATCGCGAACTTGCGCGGCGCCCCTCCAACACCACATCCTCAGGTTCGGACCTCCTTTACTTCTCCAACGATCACTCGGCGGGCGCTATCAGCGGTGGCGACCGGGCTGATACGATATCTACCAGGCTCCCATACCAGGCATAGAGGCTTGAGATACCTCCCTACCCTCCACAACGTAAGCTTCTACTATGGCGGAACCCTCTCAGACCTTCAATGGCCCCCGGCGGCAACAAACTTTCCCGCGACAGCCAGAGGAACTACACATCCCTGCAGCGAGCAACTCATTGGCCTCAAATGGTCCCCGACCAGGCCAACATCAGTTTCCCTCTGCATCTGACTATAGCGCACCGTCAATAAATATTCAACCGTCCCAATTCTCCAGTGGTGCTAGCAATAACACCACCTCACTTCCGGGAGCATTGCAGCCGGGACCTGGAAATCGACCAGGTCCTTCTAATACCACTGCTCCGCCATCCATACAAATGCTACCACACTTGGCCACCCAACCGCTCTCTCCCAACACGCCTACAAAATCCAGCCAATCCAGCCAACAACAAGCATTCTCTAGGTCCAGTCCGTCGTCCACGTTCGATCAACAGAAATACAAACATGTAGGGAGCACACCTGATAGTGGGAAGTACATATCGCCGACTTCAGGCACTTATGCGGCACAGACTCCACAGACGTCGTCTCCATACTCACCTTTAGGACTGGCTGATATCAGACCCCACATTGATTCTGCGATGTCGGAAGCCACAGGCAGTTCTGTGGCAGGAGGCAATAGTGCTAATATCCTATACCCTACAAACAGTAATTACCTCGCTCCATGGGCGGTATACGCCTTTGATTGGTGTAAATGGCCTGCTCCGCCAGGAGGGTCATCATTCGGGAAAATCGCTCTAGGAAGCTATCTTGAAGACAGTCACAATTATGTATGTTCTGCATCTGCTGGACACATAGCTTATCCTAGACAGTATGCAATATTGTACGACTTGGCCAGACTCAACTAATTATCGTTACAGATTCAAATTCTAAGCGCACAGCGTGCTTCTTCAGATGTGCCGGAATCTCCCGATGGAAATCCGGGTTTGGAATTTATAAAGACCGCGGAGGCTACACATTCATACCCGGTGACCAGAATATTATGGGAACCTCCCTCGTCCCAAAAGCAATCAACCGATCTATTGGCTACCTCTGGCGATCATCTGCGCCTTTGGTCATTACCGGCAGACTCCCACTCTCAGTCTTACCTGAGTAACTCTATCAACCGATCAAGCAAGTCGAGAAATCAACCTATACAGAAGCTTTCACCGCTCGCTCTACTTTCCAACTCCAAATCGCCGGAACATACTGCTCCAATTACATCATTAGATTGGAATGTTGTGTCTCCAAGCCTAATCATCACTTCAAGCATCGACACTACATGTACTATTTGGGACATTCCCACGCTAACGGCTAAAACCCAGCTGATTGCACATGATAAAGAAGTGTATGATGTCCGATTCTGTGCCAACAGTGTTGATGTGTTTGTTAGTTGTGGCGCAGATGGCAGCGTTCGAATGTTTGACCTAAGAAGCCTAGAGCATAGCACGATTATCTATGAACCGTCCGAAAAAAATGAAAAGTGTAAACCGCACTCGCCTTCAATTTTAAAAGCGTTTTTATACTAACATATTTTTAGTAGCGAACCCAGGGAACCTTACGCCACCCTCTCACAATGCCCCCTGGCCTCCTTCCCTACTAAGAATAGCCGGTAAGTGCCTTGCCCCCCTGAATAGGTCCGCCCGAATAAGCCCGCGGGCCCTAGCTCTAGAAATAAGATCCTCGAAGTTACTAACCTACGCTCAAGCGTCACCCCACGATTCCCATCTACTTGGCACCTTCTCTCAAGACTCCAACATAATCCGCATACTTGATGTTCGACAACCGGGCCAAGCCCTACTCGAATTAAAAGGCCACGGAGGTCCCATAAACTGCATCGAATGGTCTCCCACCCGCCGCGGCACCATCGCCTCAGGCGCAGATGACTGCCTCGTTCTAGTCTGGGATCTTATCAATCAAAGCAATGCTGCAGCTTTCCCCCCAGCTCCGCCCCCACCAAATCATAGTGGCACTTCCAATGGGCCCGCAACCGTTGAACGTGGCCCCGCCGCAGCGTGGCAATGCGATTACGAGGTTTCGAATATTAGCTGGGCGCCGCATGCGAGTGGCGGCATGCCTGGGGCACCTGGGGTTGGTGGGGTTGGTAGGGATTGGGTGGGGGTGTGTGGTGGTCGTGGGCTGTGGACAGTGTCGATATGAAACTTCTCTTTTATCACATTTTCCCTTTTCTGTTTCGAAAAATTAGAAGATGGAGAACAGACATCTTAAGATTTTCCGCGGAGTGAAGAGTACGGCTGCTGCGGGCGGAAGAAGATAAAAGAAACATACGCATTGGTCCGGTTTGAACTGTCTTGTTTTTTGCTTCCTTTTTGGTCGACCTTTATATATAGGTGGGATCACTCTGGACCGTTCCGCGTTTTCTCTTTCTCCCCGCTTTTGTCTCTTTCACATACATAATCTACCCTATACGTTTTCAGGTTCAGATTGGGTTTGGAGAACGGTCGTTCGAGATGGAAAACTTAATGAATTACGAAAGCCTTTATTTTTTGCCTTATTTTTTGCCTTCGTTTCCCTCTCTCACATTTTCTTTCTTTCTTCTGTGTTTGTTTGGCTCCCATATTTAGCTTTTATTCTTGGATTTCACAATACAAGATTTCTGGTCTCCCATTTTATTTTTATTTTATTTTTATTTTATTTTTTAGTTGTTGCTCCTTTTGTATTACCGAGCTTTATATTCCCGCCCTCTAATAAATAGATACAAGCGATTTGCGGCTTTTTCCTTCTCGCATTCAACCCCCGGGCTTTCCAGTTTGGAAGTGGCTTTTCTATTCCAATTCTTTAGGAATTGGGAATAATAGATCCAAGTCAGAAAGAAGAGGCGCCTTGAATGATGTTGAACAGAAATGACGGTTAAAAGAAGAGCGCCGACAAATAAGAAGCGGGTAGTTGGGGAAGAAATCCACGAGACGAGCCGGGGATGGACAGAGATAGAATTCCAGGTCATCGTATAAAGGCAAATACAGAAAAACCATGCTAGGAACACCGTGAAAATAAAAATGGAAGCAGTAAAAGGGCCAAATATATACACACATTCCGCAATGCCATTTATATGTCGGATAATCGGAAGAGGAAAAATGAATATTAATTAAAATACAAACACGCACAAAAAAGGCTATAAACCACATACCAAGAGCCGCCTCTCCACCCACCTTGCAAACCGAACAGTGGGCACATCCACGCCCCGCCAGAACATATCCGCCGCCCAAATGGACACAGGCAAACAAATCAACCATCCAATCGTAATTCCAAAACAATACTGCGCATCCGTGTCCTTGCCAGTGAGCGCCCATATATTCGGCATAAGCGCGTAGCCCAGCGAGTGCAAGATTGGGCCATGCACGATATAGAATGCATAAGAGACGCGTCCGAGGTACTGCGCCAGCGCGTTCGTGAAGAGCTTTTGCAAGTCCGCGGAGCGGTTTATGCTCCAGACGATCATGATGGCGCCGAGGGATTGGAGGAAGCGGTGTGGTTCCGGGTATGTGCTTGGGGTTAGGGTTGAGGCGAGGGTGCGGTAGAAAGGGGTATGTTGCGGGGCGCTATTGGGGGATGAGCCGATGAAGAGGCCTATGATGAAGAGGGTGACCCAGAGGAGGCGGTGGGGGGATCGGTGGCGGGTGAAGCAGCTATCTGATGTAGGAGTGGTATATTGGGCAGATTCAATGTCGTTGGAGTTGTTGGTGCCATCGTGCGACGGTTCACGTTCATGCTGGTTTTCGAGGGGGATGGGAGTGGAAGTAAGAAGGATTGGAAGACGGTCTTCCCATAAGCCGTGGATGATGTCCACCTCCGCCATAAGCATGCCAGACAGGAATAGCACGAGGTCCCATCGGCCCCATCGAATACAGTAATAGAGAAGGCCAGAAACAAGAGTTAGACGAATCCAAGTTCTAAATCGGGAAACGCAGATAATGGTCAGGAAAAGGACCATTGAGCACCGGAATTCGACCGGGATGGTCCACAGATGGGGATTGTAGAAATTATAATAAAGCCCCCAGTTCCAGGGATCTATCAGATGGACTACTGTGAGGTAACAGTCCGCAACCTGGTCGATAAAAGATACGAAATAAGGAGGGTGCTGTTCGTTGATACCAAGGATAGTGTGGCCTTGATCACGAACCCAGGTCGAATAATGATAGAATCCCAGGCGCACAGCGATAAGCACGCAAAGAATCCCCACAATGGAAGGGATATAGAGGCGTAATCCACGCCTGAACGTCGAGGAAGCGAGCGTGTGAAAGGCCTGCGCCCAGGAACGATTTCGGAGCAACTTAAGCGGCCTATAGGAGAGCACATAGCCGGAAATGACGAAGAATATTGTCACCATAACATGGCCCGATATCAGCATGTGGATAATAGGCAATTGATGGATTCCCCAGTTATCCTCGCCAAACCCCCAACCCACCGCAGTTTTATCCGTATATGTGAAGAGGAAATGAAAGTTGAAGACCAGCAAACAGGCCCATCCTCGCAAGCCGTCGAGGGCAGCAATTGTATGTAACTTCTGTAGCGGCGCATGATCTTTGTTCGAGGGCGTCTCTACCAAATGGCGCAGAAAGCTGGGGACAATGGCAAGACAGAAACGATCGAGATAGTACATTGAGATATCTCTAGGGCAACGAGTGGGAGCCTGAGTGAGAATCAGACTTGGGATCGAAATTGGAATCAGAATCTTCCCAGTCGTCAGCGCGGCTTTCTTGATTTTTGGCAGCGGAGGGCGTTGATGAGAAGTTCAAAGGTGAAGCCTGCTCATCAATAGGAGAGGAACTGCATTTAAAGGCAGCAGGAGATTGTTCACAACATGCTAAGGAGCGAGAGCATTGGTCAACCATATTTGACGGAGCGGAGATATATCAGCCAGGTAGACGAGGCCTTGATATACTCCGGGGGAGGAGAAGGACAAGATGAGCGTGAGACACAGGGGCGGGCGGGGACAATCAAAGTCGACATTGGAAAGCTACAAGGTAAAGGCGCGAAGGTGAAGGTGATAGAGAACAGCGTTGTGTCAATCTCCGTCTCCCTTTGAAAGAACGGTATATAGTATGTACATACATTTACATGTTGTACTATACATAGGGATGAACAACAGATTGACGGCGGCTTACATGGTTAGCTAACTAGGCTTAACCAGGACCAACTAACCTTAACTGTCCCCAGTTAAAGGCCCCACTAAAATAGGCGTTACGATGCTTATTCCATTACAGTACTTTCCTTTCATAATGTGAGTTAAAACTCTGCATATTTTACCTAAGTTAAATAGTGGACAAGGCCTGGATGTTCTGCTTTGCTCTTCATCTTCATCCCTGATATTGCTTCGTAATAGCCACTCTTAACTCCGTCGAGCTATAACTTGTATAACTTACAACTATAATGGATGCATTATGGTCATACGAAACAACGCTTTGAGCCATTTGTCAGTTACCCAGGTATGTAATGACCTGTATGCTCTCTAGGTTAAGTTAACTACTTCTATTGATTATTTGATTGGTTGCTATTTTGCTTATTGCTGATGAAGAAACTACATTGGCTTCATCCAAAGTTGATAGTTGAATGTCTAGCAGGGTCCATCTTTCATACATTCTAACTATCATTACGATAACTATAGGCCAAGGGGTATTTTTATTTCGTAGATTACATTCAGACATATATAGATAGGTCCTTGAAACTCCGTGCAATGTGTGAAGCCCAGGAATATGGAAACCATCTCGTCCCAGTGTCACACGAAGATATCTGGGTGCTTTTTCTTGCTTGCTATCACGGAATTTTAATCCTAACAGCCAGGAGAAATATAAAATAATCCAACACACTGAAAAGTAACTGGAAAAATGGAATATAAAGTTGTAAAATGCAAATTCAGAAATGGTGTTCAGTTCAGCTTACTGACTGTACAGTAACAAATTCTACATCGCGATACTCTGCTGGGAGCCGCAGTCCAAATCAAGCCATGACTGCTCGTAGTTAATTAACTCAAGAAAAAATGGTTGACAATGGATGATAGGCACTGAATAACATGGATGTGTCTCTGGATACCTGCTCATAATATATTTATATTAGTAGTTCGGCGCGTTGGCTCCTGATCCTCTCGATCACGTTATTTTTGCACCTATTGGATTTCTCTCCATCGCAGACTTCCCAAAGGGGAAATTCTCTAAGCGTCTTGAACCTCACGTTTCGCTCCGACTGCTCGCCAACCACCCTCGTCTCCCCACGCGCTACATCTGACACGCCCTGATCTCCCGTTCGCCTTCTCGCGCTTTTTTCCTCATCAACCACGACTAGCTGCCATCGTGTCGATGGATTGTATGCCTTAGGACGGCCAGAGCTGGACCTGTGTGGCCTTTAAGTTGTGGCTTTGTTCAGCCAGCCGTCCGCTGCCGTGATCATGGACTTGCGCACCATCATCAACAACGACGCCGCTGCTGGTGGTGTTCAGAGAGCTTCCGCTGCCCAACCCCCGCCGCCTTCTCCTCAACAGCCCCAGGGCCACGATCTGGATTCGCTTCACCCTACGAAAAAGCACGATGATGTTTCGCCAGCATCCTACCACACAACCCAACAGCCTCAGCAAACCCCCGAGTTCCGCACGAGACCGCCGCAACCTCCCCCCCTCCAACCCCCTCTACACTCTCCCGGTGGATCTTCGTCGTATGGATCCGCTCACTCACCATATCAACATACGTCGGCGTCTACGTTGAGCAGCGGCGGCCCACAGTCCCAGGGCGCGCACCCGGTGCCCCATGCCCTGCAGACCTACCACCCTGTTTCGCGCGACAACTTCCCCCCCAATTCCGCCGGTTCTGCCTACAATCAATCTGCAGGGCCACTATCTTCTCCATATACCCCTCAAGCTATGAGCGCGGGGACCCCGCAATCATATTTCTCGCAACAACGCTCACAATCTGCTCATTCTATTCAAACCCCCACCTCCGCTCATAGCTACTCTTATCCGCACCGTGAAAGTATTGGAGCTCCGCAACAGCAGCCCATTCAGCAACATCAACAGTCATTCTCCCCCAATCAACAACGCTCCCACCCAGGAACACCCCTTGGTCCCCCCCCAACGTCCTTTTCCCGCCCTTCGCCGCATCAACCACGACCGCCTTCCGCTGGTTTTGATTCTCAACAACAGCGCTCCCTTTCCGGTTCCTGGGGTAGCCAAGATGTTCAGTTACGGAATAAGAGAGATGTAGGATCCCCAATTGCACAGACTACAGTTGCGCGGCAAGACTCAGGGCTTGGTGGCGAGAATCAGAGGCGTTATTCAGTGGGAACCGAGGAGAGGAGTGTGAGTGTTAGCCCCCTCACTAATCTGAGTAGCTTGAGTGACAATGAACTTCATGATCAGACTCCTCAACCGTATCGAAAGGACGCCAACGACGCTACATGGGAAAACAACAGCAATAGTGCCCTTCATTTCCATGGGCATCCACATGACGCCAGTGATACAATACCGTCACAATACCCTCCTTCCACACCGAGAACACCACAACCAGCGAACACTAGTCGACCACCAACAACGTCTCCACCTACCAGACGACTACGACAAAGTGAACCTCCCGCCTCAAATATGAGCGGTCAAAGCCAATTAGTAGTGAAAGAAGATGCCCCTATTAACAGGTCTATGCTACCATCTGGCATTTCCAAGAAGAAGCGAAGGCGTTATGATGAACCTCCGATCTACGCACGCAAAGCTCCCCGAACTAGTGGCAATCCTCCACCAATACCCACCGGTCATTATGTTCCTCCCTTTAAACGCGCTATCGCGAAGCAGGAACCTCAGGCCGACAGGGTTGTTTCGAGAACTCGTTCCCTTCCACCGCCTCCGCCGCATCCAATTGCTGAGGCCCCAAACGGCGAAACCACGACAAATGGGAATCTTCCTGCCCGACCTCCGCCCGTAGACCAAACCGCCACCTCACTAGGTCCCTGGGAACCGTCCATTACTGGGCTAATACCCCACGAAGAAGTCACAAAATTGATCTGCGACTTCTTGTTCCAACAGGTTGTTATGAGAAGAGATATTGGAGCAGGGCCCGCTGGAGGATCAGCTATAGGACAAGGCGCTGTTCTCGAAGTTGAAGCTAAGCTGGGCATGCTCGTTGACAGAAATCGTGGAGAACGTGTTCGGATACCAGCTCTTACAGAGTGTATTCTTGCCAAAGATGATCCAAGTATACGAGTTGGTTTTGAAAGCTCAATGTCTTTGGTGAGGCCTCTTCTCCCTCGCCCTCACATACAACATTCAATGTTTATTTATAAATGGAACGCACTGACCAAGCAAAAATATCCAATTAGGCCCAACACCGAGCCCTAAACGATTTCCTCAACGACATTGTGAAATCCTCAATATCTCAACCGGGCGCCCGCATTCCATTAACCTACGCTCACAAAAAAGAACGAGATACGTTCTACGAAATCTCATCCTCCGCCCTCCCGCCCATAATCCAACACCATCTCAATCCTCGGCACAAGCCTAAAGTCCGCGTGACAACGGACCAGCGAACAGGCGCCGTACTAGCTCGCATCATCAAATGCCGCATCGCGGATCTAGATGTGTATAGCCCGAGAACTTGTCTTGATTGGCGAATAAGCGTCAACCTTGAAATGAACTACGAAGGCGATATTGGCGAGCTCAATTTGCCGGGTGAACCGAGCTCATTGAGCGGGCCTGGGGCTCCTCGAGGTGGTGCAAGAAGCAAAGATCGCATGAGTTATAGACATTTGGCTTATCAAATTGACTTGACTCAGGTTGCTACTTCAGAGGTATGTCAATCTGTATTTTATTCTCGTTTTATTTTCCGCTTGCATATTAGAATACTGCTCTTGATTTTACTCTGTACAATTCCTCACATCAGACCACAACAACACCTTTCTGTCTCAATTCGTATTTACGTTTAGGACTCATAATTCACCACCCGTCTTCCAACTAACTCGACTGTATTCACACACCCCTTTCCCCAGAATCCTTTCTAGCTACCAATCTCATTATTTCTTCTTCTTTTCCCGGCCAGTAACTAACTACCAAAACCAATTCAGGACGGCTCCAATAATCCCCAGTCAGACTTCGAGCACGAGCTTGAAATCGAGATCTCCTCCGCCGAAGTCCGGCGCCAGGGTGACCTAGCGCTTGCGGGGGATCCGAAAAACCAGTACGAGGAACTTATCAAAGGGTTTGTAGATAATATACGGGTACTGGCGAGAGCGGTTCCGGGACGTTAAAAGAAGATCTCATAAAATTGGGTTAGGGGCTTTTCTCTGTTCTTCATTCTTTTCCCTCTTCCTATTCTTCTTTTTTCCTCGAACCTGCCTTACTTATTTATTTACATATAACTTATCTATCCACCTACCTACCTACCTATATACAAAGGAATAATTTATTTTACTACTGGCACCTCTCTCCTTTTCCCCTGGGATTGTAAATTTTTACTCTTCCATCTGCCCCACATCATGTTCAATGCATCATATATATTTTTCAAGATTTTGCTACTTGGGTGTTTTGCTACCCGTCATGGTCTTTCTTCGGTATGATTCGCTACTCTCAATATCTAGCTCTCAAATGGCGAATGGTTGTTTTTTTGTTTTTTTTTTATCTTCATTTCTTTCTCAATTGCTCGTCCCATTTCCCCTCTTCTCATCGAAGTTCTAGGCTTTACTATTAATCATCGTATTCCCCTCCTTTTTAATGCTCTCCCCTTCTTCTCTCTTTCCTTCATAAAAACCAAAAGAAAACAAAGAAGAAAAAAATGTGGAGATTTGTATCCACATACCATCCGTTACATCAATCACCCACCCTTTCTAAATACCTACGTTTTACATTGCAATTCATTTTGTAATTACTACACTCTCCCCCCATACACTCAAATGAGTTAAGTGGAAAAACATACGATGAGGAAAAAAAAAAAAAAAAAAAAAAAAAAAAAAAGAACAAAAAGAACAAAAAGAAATATCCAAAAAATTTTCAAGCAAGCCAAAGGAGTTGATTGGGAGAAAAAATAAATGCATGCTTCGAGAAGCATACATGTGTATATACAAATGATATCGGATAAAGTCATAAGATCCACGAAGAGAGGTTAGCTGGGCGAAATGACAACGAAGTAAGGGAAGGGGGGAATAGTGAAGATAAAAACGCGAAGACAAAGGAGGGGGCATCGAAATGGAGTAGAGTAGAGGTGAAGAGAAGAGGTGAAGGGGGAAGAGGGTAAAAATAAAAAGAACCAGGAACCCAGAAAAAGAATGTAAAATCATTTGCATCATAACGTCAGTCCCTAAACGCCTATTGAAGCACAGACACAGATTACCCTCCGTTTTTGCTTCTGCCTCATTCCTCATCTACCCCCCACCACCCACGGCGGCGCCAGCGATAACCGTAGACGTCGCCTGTGGCCCTCCGCTGGTGGCAGCTGCATTTGCGCCCTCACCACCACCCCCACCACCCCCACCATCCCCACCAGCCGTCCCAGGTGTACTAGTAGTCGGCCTCCCACCCCTTTCCCTCATCCGTCTCCCCTCCATCAATCCACGTAATCCTCTCTTCTGCAGCCCAACAACACTACTAATCTCACCTGTCCAAATCTCCCGTTCAGGCTTGGCCCGCCCGCGCCCATGGCTAAGCATGTCATCATCCATGTTATTATTCATGTGTTCATTATGATGAGCAATATCATCCGCACCCATTGATTCTGAGAAGCTGAGGCTGGTATTTGTCGATGCTGATGTGGCCGTGCTTGCTGCGCTGCTGACTGATTCGGCGCGGTTGCGGTTGCCGCCGGCTGTGCTTCCAGAGTTCAAATTTGTGGTGTTAATGCGAAGGTTGGCGGGTCGCTGGGCGCTTGATGTGCGACGTTGGGTGGCTCCAAGTCCACTACCACCACCAACGCCTCGACCAATTGCACCCGACCGAGGCCCCGTTGTGTCTCCGGACTCTGTATCTGAGGAATTTGAGTTGAGATTCAGCCTGCTCATTGGATCTGTGGCGGACTCGACGGCGTTGGAGCGCGAGTGTGCGCCGTTTAGAACTTCGAGCGTTCCACCAGGTCCGCTGGCAAAGCCTGTGCCACGGCCTCCGCCCGCAGCCATGGCGGCTGCGTTGAAAACAGCTGCAGCATTCCGGCCGTCTAGAACTTGGTGTAGTCGTTCGACCGTGGCTTCGAGTAGGCCGTCGACCTGGTAGGGGCGTGCGAGCTGGAGGAGAGAGCAGAGGATTTGCGGGGTGCAGAGCTGGGAGCCAGGGGGTGGGAGTGAGGAAGTATACAGATATTGGACGAGAAGTTGGACGGTTAGATGGGTATGCGGGAGATATAGAGTTCTAGGGCGGGAAGTTGGTGTAAGGGTGTGTGCGGAGGGGATTTCGAGGTTGGGGAGGAGCGACGGGGCGGCTTTCCGGTTGGATGATGAGCTACTGCGACCGACTAGGGTCGTCGCGGTAGAATAGTTGCTGCTGTTGCCCACTGAAGGTGTTATTGTGATGCTAGAGTTTCGGCTAGGGTGAGATGAGGGCTGCTGGCGTAGGGTAGCGGAATCGGACATGATCTCTTCCGAGGCTGTAGATTCACGGAGAAGTTGAATAAAATATGGGCCCCAACGACGAGCCAAAATATGTGAGTTAACCGGGATACGTTCGCCGCCAATGGTGAGCAACTCCATATCAGACAACTCCCGAAGTGATAGGGCCATCTTGCCGAACTCTTCCGCTGCGGTAGATAATGGTCGACCTCCGGGACCATGCTGGGAAATCTTTGCTTGTAAAGAAGCAGGTACCATGGGGCTGCTTACAGAGACATACCCCGAAGTCGGGGAGCTTCGTCGTGGATTCTCATATAGGCCGAATGCTTCGAGTTCCACAAAACAAATGTGCGAGAAATTGATGCGCCGGTGGTTGTAATCTTCAACTAAACTTCGCTTCCGATGTCCCATAACGACGAATGTGCTTCGCCTACTCCACAGGACACCGCGATTCCAACTGCCGTGTCCAAAAATGGCTCCTCCGGCGTCAATCCGGCCCCACGTAAGTGTTTTCAAATCCAGAGCCCACATTGCATACTCTTGTTTGGAAGACGTAAGATAAGTACCGCTAACCACAAAATGTCCATTAATAATGCCTCCATTGGGGAACCGTAAGCCGGGAGGCGAAACCGTGCCATTCATTGGCTTCTCGATTAGTTTTCCGTCAGGTAAACGGAACTGCAGATTTAATTTGACATCTAAGAAATTGTAATTTGAATATATCAACAGCAGGGGATCTGGTTTCTGGGCATCTGGCTTCGTCGGGTCCCTGAACCCTTCCACTTCAACCCCACCTCCAATATCGGAAGCGTTCACCCCGATCAAAGGGGTAGCAACACTGCGATAGGCTCCGCAACTGCGATCAAGAGAGGTGGTGGAAGTCCATTTTAGGCTTCGCAGATTAAAAACATTTATTTCTTCAAAATAATGATTCGACGTATCCTGGCCACCAACAACGATCATCTCCGCCCCTCCATATCCATCAATCTCTACACCTAGCGTCCCTTGGTGGGGATTAGACGAAGAAGGGTTATGGTGGAGAGCGGACAGAGGGGCATCAGAGGAGCCGAAAGCAGCGCCGGAGGGTAGAATTGTTGCACAATGGGCATATCTTCCCCGGGGGGCGTTGGCGGTCGGAATAAAAACCCACGTTCTACTAGGCACATCAAAGATATATATATCTGACAAAAGCACAACTCCTTGCTGTGATTCCTGCCCTGGTTGTTGCGCATTTGGGTTTGGATTCGCGGGAGGCTGACCTGGAACAGCAGTTTTCGCAGACATGCCGCCGTAGCAAACCAGTTTCGAATCGCCCAAAGCACATACTGTGTGGAAATAACGTGGAGGGGGAATGTCCCCCGTCGTCTCTAATTTGGTCCAGTGACGACGTACCAAATCCAATTCGTACATCTCATTGGTTAACAGCTCGGGCCTGCTTCTTGACTGCAGCCGCCCCCCAAATACATATAGCTTATCTCCAAGAACGGTGCTGGAAGGCCCCACAAGCGGGTGGGGTTCTCTGCCTGTCGTTCGATGAACATTACACACCAGGCCAGATAAATTCGTCGGGCCTGACGATGTATTGTGACCACTTTGCAGATTTGAAGGGGCAGGTTGGTTTCCAGTTGCAGTATTCAGTCCAGCATTTTGCTCCTGAAAAGAGTCATACTGGGCCCCACTAGTGATATTAGACGCCATCGTTTTAAGCACAATTGCGGTTGACTGGTTCGACGTATTAAGTGTTTTATTGGTAGACGACCGCACAAGCGGTGATTCGGGGCCTGCTTTTCCGGTTGGTGTCTCGATTGGTGGCGGGCTTTTTGGCACAGAGTGAAGTCCACCTTCAGAAAAGGATAACGAGCTTTTCCGGTTACCGTTCTCCCTCGGCTCCTGGTACTCCAGAAACCTCTTTTCCAGCTGAAGATTTTGGCTGAGACCAGGTTCCAACACAGCAGCAGGGACGGGTAAACTTGGGCGCCGAAACGGGTCCAGATCTGGTGCTTTGGGAGTAGTTGGAGTTGCAAGACGGAACTCGTCAGGGATCTTATTGCGTGGAATTCCCTCCGCTGGAGCTTTTGCGGGGCCCTTCGAAACGAATTTTCTCGAAGGCCAAGTTGTGGATATGGTAGTACTACGGGCTTTGGAAGGGCGAAAGTATTTAATCACAGAGGCAAATCGTTTCGAGCCGTCTGGGGTAAGTGGTGGTATTGGGGGTGCTGTAGGCGTTGACGATGGCCCTGCAGCCACATTCGGGGGAATACTTCCTTCAGCCGGCTTGTTGGTTTCACGTCCTGAGCCTGTTCCTGCCATGATTAGCTAGAATTCTACAGATGAAGGGCTGGTTGAGGTTTTGAATTGCCATTCGCCAGAACGAAAAAAGGTCGAGTGCGAGGGGAAAGGAAAAAAGCAAAATCCAGAGGCAGCGATAAGTCTTATATGTATAAAACAAAAATACGAGTTGTCAAACATACGGTTGTAGGAATTTCGTCAGGTGTTCGTCACTTCTTTGTCTAGCAGCTATGCCCCTGGCACTACCATAACAGGTTGGCCCAGTGGGACATGGAAAAAAAAGAAGGGAGTAGGCTAGAGATTGGAATTCGTTCACCCAACAAGATTCGTTTGTAAAATGGTACAGGAATTTCGATATGAAGTGGAGAACAGGTGAGGACAGTGTATCAGATTCCTAGGCAGCTGGGGGGAATTGAAATCGGCTGGTGCGCGGACGGATAGATCGAGACGGTAGGGACAGGGTTGCACTGTGTTGTATGGAGGGGTTGTCAATTTCCACTAGTTTGTTCGATCCGCGAGCGTTTGCAAAAGGTCTGGGAATCAGAGTTGGTAAAACCGTAGGACCCTGTCTAAGGCATGATGGAGACAACGGACAGTCAGACTCGTGCCGCGGACTGACTGAGAACAGCGGAGCCAGTGTCAATTGGCGCTACGTGTATGAATCGTGAGATAAGATGAGATGTCCGGCGTCAAACTCGCGACGTTTGTATGCGGCTGAACAATGAAGTAAGCGGGAAAACAGGCACTGACGCCTCTGATTGGCTAGCTGCGATGAGCTTCCCGCAGCCGGGCCGAAAGTTTAACCGAAACTTCCCCCGTGACTGGTTAGTTAAGCAGGGCCCCTCTTTCTTGGCGCTTGACCGATATCATACAACATTCCATGGACATTGGCATGATATTGGCATGGGTGCTTTCTCTCTCTCAGAGTACCATAGCGTGGTGACTCTACCGAAAGCTGTTTCGATTTTCTTCAAACCAATCCCAAACTGCCCTCAGGCCCAAGGTTGAGTAAAGGCTCGCTATGTATAGAGTCTCACTTAGACCTGACAGTTGGCTGATAGCTACCAGAGCCAACAGCCAACCTTCGGGGGAAATGAAACAAAACAAAGCATCTCCCTCCTCGTGGAGCAAACATGGACTGGGCAGCTGAACCTTGGGAGACGATGTTGAAGAGAATAGGCAACTCTGACTATGCGACTTGCTCATTTGGGGGAAGGCCGACTTCCGAGCGACAAACGCAAGGACAATTTTATTTGACCAATTTTTGTATTTTTTATTTTTATTTTTTTAGAGTAAGTGATCATTTTATTCATGGATTATATCATTTTAAATTTCTTTCTCTTATATCATGAATCGCTTTAAACAATAAAAAACACATAAAATAAAACAAGAAGCAAAAATACCAATACAACGCTCAACGTCATCAGGTTTATATAGAATACGACTTCCACCGTCTCCACCCAAGGGTCGACCCTAGTTCTTGAGAGTGGTGTATCTGAGGTATCTATAAAAATACGAAGAAGACCCTTAGTTTTCTGCAACTAAATGAACAGGTAGACGGAGGAATGAGAATCAAACTTACGGCTTGACAACCCTGACATCGCCAAACTTCTTGATGGCATCCTCAGTCTTCATGGTTGGTGGGATGATGACATCATCGTTCCTGTTCCAGTTGATAGGGGTGTTCACACCGTTCTTATCAGTGGTCTGAAGGGCATCGATGACTCGCAGGACCTCCGCGGCATTCCGGCCAGTGGAGGCTGGGTAGCTCAAAATCAGTCTGATTTTCTTGTTGGGGTCGATGATGAAGACGGAACGGATAGTCATGGCCATTCCTATGGGTCATTACGTTAGTTAACTGTTACTGATGTGCGTCTCACCGTTTAATGGCGAGAAATGAGGGAAAAAAGAGACATCGATTTATGCTCACCCTTCTCGTCGACATTGGTGGTGTCCTGGTAGTCCAACATATCATACAAGTACGAGATTTTGCGGTCGGCATCAGCAATGATGGGGAACTGCAGGTTCGATCCGGTAACTTCGTCGATATCCTTGATCCAGTCATAGTGGGATTTAAGGCCGTTGGCGCTCTAAACAAAGCAAAAAGTGGACTTCAGGTTAGCCAGTGCCCTGCTCCCCCCCTCTTTTATTTTTTTATTTTTTTTATTTTTTTTTATTTTTTTATATATCTTTCAACACAGCTAGGGAAAGCCACGTACCAGTCCAATGAGTTTGACACCGCGAGCAGTGAACTCAGGCTCGAGCTTGGCGAAAGCTCCTAGCTCAGTGGTGCAGGTGGGAGTGAAATCATCCTATTAATTCCAATCAATCAGCAAACTTCTTGTTTCTCTTTCGACGAGGTCCCCCGGTTCCTCCGTTCTCCTTCCATCGGACACGTACAGGGTGAGAGAAGAGGATGACGTATTTATCGCCAATGAATTCATGGAAGTCGATTTCACCCTTTGTGGTGACGGCCTTGAAGTTGGGTGCGGTTGATCCGAGTCGGAGACTGAGAAGATAAAAGCGGAGCCGTTAGACCTGACATGACAGAAACGGACACGAAGCAAGAACCAGCCAAAGGCGGCGGGGGCACGGATGGGTAAACTTACGGGGCAGCACGTTGTTCTTCAGCCATTGTGGATGTGAGTGGAGGCGAGGTTCTAAGGTGGTCGAAGGAGTGATTGTTGAGAGGTTTTGTTCTTTGTTGGTAGTAGAGCAGGGGATGTTGTTCTACAATGAGAGTGAGAATTGAGGGATGATATATAAAGAAGAAGAAGGAAGAATGAACGATACAAACGTGGTCTACTAACCAGCTTTCCCCCCTGCCCACTGGCCCCCAGGTACCAGAATACCGAACACACACACAAATACCACACACACACACACACACACATTTCATCCCCCACTTCATGCCAACGGGTTTCGAATCACGCAATCCGCCACCGCCTTTGCCGGCAGAACGCTCTGATTGGCTTGTGTTCTCTGGCCTTTTCGCGACACAGCCAAGCTCTGATTACGTCATCTAGTTACATCAACCAATCACGCGTCTCTTTTTGGCCGATGATGGCCTTTGTACGTGGCCGGATATTGGCCGTTACGGCCGTTGCGGTTAGCGATCCCACTAGATCACATGACCCACCACTATATTATGTTCTTGTAGATAGATCTATCAATACAATCTTCAACTATTCTACAGATTATAGCTCAGATAGTATGTTTTTCTTTTTAAAATATTATATTAATATTTTTAATATAGATAGTTTATCTTTTTTGAAAAGACTCTTACTCTTTATTAAAGATATTTCATTTTCTCTGAATCTACTAATTAGTAAATTTATATACTTTATATTTTTAAAAAAGTGTGTTCTTCATAGACTGACTGCTGAGACTATGAATTTTATATTTAATCTTATTTAATCTGATCTCATACATTTCTTGATGTGAATTCTGCTGAGACTGACTATTAAAAAAACAGATAAAGTGACTATATATCAGATCTTAAAATGAAACCATAACTTGAAAAAAATGAGAAAATAGTTTCATTTGATCTCATTTAGTCTCATTCTTAGTATAAAGTTACTATTTTTAGACATTTTAAGGTTTTTTTTAGACTATTTTTAATTTTTTAAAAAGTAATGCTTTTTAATAACACTTAAATGAGATTTAAAGTCATTTAAAGCAATAAAAATAATTTAAATTGAGAAGTGAAAATCATGATCTCATTTAAAAAATATGATAAGAGTAGATAGTAAGTCTTACTGAGACAGTATAAGACTACTATCTAATGTTAAAACTGTGTAATGAGAGCAGTTAAATTAATAATAAGACTATTAAAAAATCTGATTCTGATCTCAGACACAGTTATATAGTCAGTCTAGTTCTTCATTATAAAGAATATCATCTTTTTTTTTTATATATTTAGAAGAAGTAGAGTTATCTTAATATAAATAATATATCTATTACTTCAGAGTTCAGCTCAAGACTTAGAATTATACACTTTATTAGATAACTTATTAATAGAATAATTACTTATTATAAGAAGACTTCTGACTTATAAGATAAGACTGAGATTAATTTTTATCAAAGTATGAAATTTAATAATAAGATAATAGAGAAACTTTAGAATAAAGAAAAATAAAGTTAATATTTATCTACAGAATCTGTTTATTTTAATTTATTAAATTCTTCACTATTCTTCACTCTTAAAATACTGACTTTTAATAATAATTTGAATTAATCTATCTATTACACTGCAGACAATCTTATAAATCTTATATAAATAATATTATAGAATTAAATAACTACAGTTAAAATCACTTAATATCTTACTATATCTATTTCTATATAAAGAGATACTATAAGAAATAAGTTGTAGAAATATCAGAAGAAAGTTAAATATATACTAAATATTAAATCAGTAATTATATTTAATAACTCTAATTATAAAGTTTAATATATTAATATATTAACTAATACAGAAGTTATTAATAGAATTAATATTCTATTAAGAACTTAATAAAAATTCTCTTTTATATATTATATTAACTCTGAGAAGTGAAGAATTCATTTCAAGTCTGAAGTCTCTATATAGATATATACTATTAAGTCTTATTAAAAATGTTTGAATTACTATTAAAATCTTAAAAGTTAATAATACTGCAGCTCTGTGAGATAAGATTAATATTAAATATATAATATCACTGACTGAAGAATGAGTTAATATCTTTAAGAAATTAATAAAATTATAAGTTAAGAAGAATAATTATCTTACTTTTCAGAGATATTTCTACTATCTTATTATCTATTATAAGAAGCTCTATCAGTGTATTAAAAATATATATTATAATCTTTTTCTCAATAATTTATAAGATTATTAAAGATTATTTATTAAGATACATTTAAATAAGTTTTTCTTCACTGATCAGAAACTCATTATTAATATTAATATTAATAATTTAATAAAGTAACTGATTAATTATATATTTAAGAAGATTATCACTGAGTGAAAAAAGCAGTCTCAGACTGATTCTGTAACTATGAAAAAGAATAAAAACAAAGATAAAAATAAAGATAAGAATAAAAGTATATCTATATAAAAGATAAATAATCTTTTAAAGTTCTATAAGAATATTATATCTCAGTCAGAAAGAGTAGAAGATTATTAAAAGAAGTTTATATAATACAAGATTACTGATCTGAAGAGATATAATATATGAAGTTTAATCTCTAAATCTGATATTCTGAGAAATGAACTGATTACTTCAAACTGTTAAGTATTTCTTAAGAAAGATAGATCTGTATATCTGAATACTGATTCTGATAATATTCTTAAAAAATTATATTAAGTAATTTATAATAACTAATTTAAGAAGAGTTCTAGAGAAGAGATCTATACTTCTGTTATCACTGATACTACTAATTATATTCTTTTTATAATAGCAGTACTTAGACTAGACTGGCCGGTGGGATCATGAATTTCACATTTGATCTCATTTGGTCTGATTTCATACATTTCTTGATGTGAGTCTCATCAGAATCAAGTCTTAAAAAAATCTGAAAATGAATCATTTCTGAGAGAAATGATGTGAAAAATGACCAGATTTAATTCAAGAACAGTGAAATGAGAGTAATTTCTCAGAATAAACTATGAAAGATAATCATTCTTTCAAAATCAGAATGAAACTGAGACTGAAGATTAAAATCAGTCTCATTCAGTTCATTCAGTGATTGCTTATATAATCAGAATTTGATAATAATTATTAATAACACTTATGAAATAACTAAATACATTCTTGTATAAGTTTATTCTTCACTTTCTTATGAAAACTATACTTCTCTGATATACTGTGATCAGAGGTATTAAACTGTCTGATAATTTCATATTTTACAATCATGAGTTTCTTAATTATTTCTTCTTATAATTGTTCTCAGTAATAGTAATAAATATCTTGACTTGAGTTAAACTTTCACTTCATTCTCATCTCTGTCAATAAAATTGTCAGAATATCATATGTTATCAATGCAATAGTTGAATATATACTCTCAATAATTTTTCATAACTCTAGAATTGATTTAATGTGTAAATTTATCAGATTATCTTGAAGATAACAGTTAAATTCAGTTTTACAAGTATATAGTTTTATCTGATTTTCAGTTGCAATTAATGTATGTAAGTTCTGTTTCAAAGTTAGTATTATAGTTCTATGAGATATGAAGTATTATCAAAGATTATTACTTACTAGAGAATTGTATTTCACTATCTTCATATCTTAAACATCTGCTCATTCAAATCTCTGATAGTTGACATTGTAGTAGTCTCAGACTAATTTAACATATAAGTCTCATTCCTTCTTTGTTCAATCTTGAGAAGTGTAGATATTAACTCAATAAGAGAGATCTAGTAGAGCTGCTACAGCATAGTACTCTGCAAAAGATTGTTCAGTTTTACTGTAGTAATAAGCCCCGGTGGCTGAATGGTTAATGCGGCCACCTGGTAGCGCCTTGGCGTGGGAAACCAAGACGCGTGGGTTCGAAACCCGCAGGGGATACATTAAATCCGGAACTCAAGCACCTCAGGTTTCTAATAAATACAGAGGTGTACAAATCGCTTCAATGAATTGCTCTATGTTCCTGGGCTGGGAAGTTATTATTGCATGTATCTAATTGTCACTTCTTTGTATTTTTCTATGTTCTTGTTATCTTGGCGTGGTCTCAACACCTGTATTTCCTCCTGTATAATCAACACTTGACCTGTATTTAACATCACGCAAGAACTCATTATAAGCTCCGCTTGCATATGAGTATAATGGAAGAATAATAATAATAATAACTGTAGTAATATGCCAGTTTATCCCTTGCAGTAATAATAGCCTGCACTATAGCATCATCTCAGACTGAATTTCTTTTTAAGTGATTCAACTGCTTCTTAAGATGAGTAAATAAACTATTATACACTCATCAGACTAACTGCAGTATTGATGTACAAGTGATTGAGACTGTCTTTGTTATCTTATAAAACTGAAACAGTAAATCAATTATATATTTCAACTGAGTTTACTTCATATCAGAAAGTTTCAATATCTGAATCTTTTCTCAATCAGAGTATTATACTCAATAATTAATTATCTGATGTAATTGAAGAGCTTAAACAGTTATCTTATATATTGAACTTCACTATATTCTAACATTCTGTATCATATTCAGTGATGTGACTGATTTGTTTATTTATTAAATATCATGAAATTATTATTATTATTTAGAAGAGATACAAATCATATTAGCAATGTTTTGAATCTATAATATTTAAATTATTAGTCAATCTATTCAAAATTAACAGTAGTGTTATTAAAAAGTGTTATTAAAAAGCAATATTAAAAAGTGTTATTAAAAAACATTATCTTTTACAAAGTAAATGCAAAAGTTACTTAAGTAATCACTTTTATCTCATTCTCATCTCAAGAATCAGTTATCTCATTATTCTTTATCTTGATATTAAGATTCTTTATCAGTGTTTGTATCACAAGTTGAATCACATGAGCAATGCAGAGAATATGACCTTGTTTATCATTTCAGAAATGCAAAGTCAATTTTTACTTTAAGCTCTTTATCATAGTGTAGTTATTCACAGCATTGTCAGTTGTAATTGTAAGAAGACTAGAACTAATATCTCAATAGTCATTTTTAATCACAGTTATTAATATCTCTGCTATATAATTCTCAGTATAACTACTGATTAATGATTTAAATTTAATTAATGTCTCTTAATAAGTTCAGTTCTTATCAATGTAATAACATATAACTCTTATAAATGTAAGATTGTTTATACTAGTTCATGTATTCACTGTGAGAGATACTCTTCAATGATTCTTCAACTCTGATTCTAGATATTG